TCTTTTGTTTTTACGTCTCCCCCCCCCCCCCCCGCCCCCAGCTTTCTCTTTCCTCTTCTTATGATTGTTTAAAGGCTAAACCCTTGGTAAAAGGTTTGTTGGTTTTGCTGTAGCTCACCCTCCTAGTGCAGGTCTGATGCTGCCTTTATAGCACATTCCTAGGCTGCTGCTTGGGAGAGCATTGCCTAGAGAATGCTCAGTGCTGTTCCTTTTCATTGAGAGTTGGGCTGGTGGAACATCATTTCAATTATCTTCTCTTTCAGGTACAAGAGAAAGTAAGAACTGCTGTTCAGTTACCAAAGACGTAATTTGGACAATGCGGACGTTTCAGACTTGCTCTCTCCAGGGCCTGGATTTCTTTGTACTGCAAGGAAACAGCTTCAGTAAAATCAAATAGTTTTTCAAGTTCTGGAATAGCTTTGGGATGTTTGTTAATACCTGGTTGAAGACCCTGTGTGAAAACATCAGTAGCCCACACAATAAAGGACTGATTTTTATTTTTTTCTAAACAGTTTGCTCTGTTTTTTAGGGTGGATATAGCAACTGAGAGCTAGGATATGGAATTCAAGTTGTCTTTAAGGCAAGAACTGGAGAACACTTGCTGCTTTCTTTATATACTTCTGTGATCTCAATTAATTAATATGGCTGAAAAATATTTCTATGCTTGAGACCCTATTTCTAATAAGGGAAAAAAGTTTCTCAGGCTACCTGTCACAAAGATGGCTTCAGAGAGAACAGTCACAGGAATTAAAACAAATCTCCAAGAGGGCACTATCTGAAGAAAGGATTATCCCCAAAGGAGAGGGGCAGACAGCTTCCTCCTAACTGAAAAGAAAGCAGCTGTAAGCTGAGGCAAGAAGGGAAGACCAGAATGCAGGCTCATTACCATTACTGTATGCAATTAATGATAGTTTTGCTCATCCTGGCTTTTTTTTTTTTTATGAGAAGCAATGTAGCTCCCCCTATAAAATCAAGCAGGTTTACTAGAGGCTAATAAAGCAGCAGGTTAATGCAGAGCAGCAGTGATCACTATTCTTAATACAGGCACCACTGTACAACCACACTTAATTTTATTGAAGTGTAAGTATTTATTTGCATTTTTACCATCTCTACCATCCCAACAAACTTTTTTCAACAGCCTTGCTGCATTTCATTGATATGCTTTAATTCCTGTAAGGAACATAGACCAATGTAGACTTAAATGGCCCAGACCAGCCATTAACTTCTGAACTGTCAACACAAACCGAGCTTTTTGCTTCAAACTTGCTCTTCTGGGGTACCGCAGCACAGTAGTGAAAGGTAAGGGCTGCACTCCTGAAATACACTGGTACAACTCAAAGTAGTGGGTTTTCCAACTTTATTAAAAAGGGGCAAACTTTACAAGCAGTAAATATAAAATATACATAACAAAGTTTTGACAGGTGGTACTGCTCGGTGTATTCCCTTAATCAGTCTTCTCACAGTTCAAAGGTACGCTATAGAATATCCTACGGCCTTGGTGGACGCATGCCAGGTGGAGGGGGTCCTGGGAATAAAGGAAAGAGTTGAATATCAAAGAGGAAAGGGGAAGCAAGGCTAAACTAGACAGATGTTTTCACCATGCTCAAAGTGGCCTTGGGACCCCTCGTTTGGCACCGAGGCATTTATTGACAGCATAGCTAGAGAGACATTGAAACATACCGCCCTTCAAACGTTTTATTTATATTAGAGCTTCTAGGTATTTAAGATAACCTCCACTCACCTCTCATTCCTGGGGGTGGTGGTCTCATGCCTGGTGGGGGCATTCCCATGGGAGCACCTCGGCCAGGTGGCATTCCCATTGGCGGGCCCATGGGTGGTCTCATGCCAGGAGGAGGTCCCATCATTCCTTAAGCCAGAGACAGAATGAGAGTTTAAATCCAGCTGGATATTCAAGGCACTAACTGGGTAGCAGAAGAACCCTCCATAATACCAGATCTTCATCAGACTCTGATAACTATCTCTTTATCACCAATTTTGCCACACATCATGAGCTCCTTGCTGCCCCATATAGAGTAATTCCTACCTGGAGGAGGTGCTCCCCTGCTCATGGGTGGGGGAGGACCCCCACGCCCCGGTGTGTATTGAGTTGGGGCTCCTGCGATGCTAGCGGTGGCTGCGGCAGCAGCAGCTGCAACCGTTCCACGACCCTGAGGTGTCATCACCTGTAAACAAAATAAACAGGTTCACAGAGAAACAGCACAACATCTGCTTTTCATTAGCAACTAAAGAACAAGCAAGATTTAAATTATTAACCCTTCAGAAAATTACGCCAGTCTCCTCTTAACATTAAATAATGCTACAAACCTGTAATACAATTCAACGGATAACATACGAATTCTGTGCAAGAAGCTGCACTTTTCAAACCTCTTCTTCCATCATATAAGCAGGTTCCTAGGAGAACCTCGTACCAAAAAAGCCTCACTAGGCTCAAACTCCCCGGTAACAGAAACTAAGATCACAGTTCTTCTACTCCACCAACTTCTTGCATCGCATTGGTACCAAGAATTAAAAGCCACCCCAGAACGTACCAGACAACTCTTTTTAATGGGTCGCAGCATCTCACCTGTTGGGATGGTCCTCCCACTCCTCTGACGGGGCCAGCTAACCCTGCTGGAGCCTGGGGCATGGGCGCACCAGCTGGAACTCCCCTC